GGGTTCAGGCCATGAGCCCACTTTCAAGGATTTCATCGTGTTTGTGTGTCTTTGTGTGGACATAATCTGACACTACACATCAATTCTTTAATCTGTCTGTATACCAGCTGTCAGTCCAACGTCTCATTATTCTGTCCCCTCCCTGAGCATGTGTGTCTATGAGTGTGTGTGTACGAAGCTTTTTACACTTTACATGTAGGACCTTCTCAGCTTATGTCACAGTGAGAAGTACACATTTTATTACATGTTTGCATCATTAAATAGATGTTAAGGTATTCAATAAAACTGCAGCTTTAGCTTGTGCGCTCAAACCAGAGAGTGCCAGACCAAAATTGGCTTAGTGTTGAATAATGAATAACTCAAGGTTAGGCTATTGATAGCAGAGTTACAGGAATAGTTTGACAAATTGGGGAATATGCATATTCAGTTTCTTACTGAGAACTGGATGAGAAGATCAAAATCATTCTTGTGTCTGTTTGTGAGCTACAGACAAGAGCCTCGCTTAGCATAAAGACTGGAAGCAGTTGTGCAGAGTTGTGTATTGTGCTCAATAATCAGGTAATGAATATATCATACAGTGTGTGTGTTTGTGTGTTTGTCACAGGCCGACGTGCAGGAGATCAGCGGTGAAGCCTACATCGTGTTTGGGATCATTCTGTTCTTCTGGGAGCTGCTACCTACAACCTTAGTGGTGGTTTTCTTCCGGGTCCATAAACCCAACCAGAACCTGGTAAAAACGACGCTCAAAGTACAAATGCCATCAATGATCTGAACGTTTTAAACTGTAATGAAGCTTGAACGTCTCTCTACCTCTCAGGCTCCAGGAGGGATGATCAACAGCCACAGTTTCAGCTCCAGAGCTTATTTCTTTGACAACCCTCGGCGGTACGATAGTGACGACGACCTGTCCAGAAGCATTAATAGCAGGACTGATCGGGCCAGGTGGGCACACACACACACACACACACTCAAATACAACCTTTCAGTATGTTATCAATAAAGTCCAATACTGAACTAAACTTAATGACTTTTAATTGATTTTTCTTCAACACCTCCTCTCAATCCCTTCTCAGTCTCCTCTCCACCACCCCCCAGCTGGGTACGTCTAGTTGGTACGGGTCCATCCAACGCAACGGGACTCTGACAGCCGGCGTTGCGCCTGCCCAGCAGCCGCCATCGTCCACGGCCCCCCTCCTCTTCGCCTACGGAAACATCCAGAGTCACCATCACCACCATCACAACTACTACTCCACCCCGCAGAACAACAACTACCACCACCATCATCACAGTAACTTCTATTCCACGCCACAGAATTACTACTGCGGGTCGCAAACGTATTTCTGCACGCCACAGAATTAAGCGCCGTCCATCGAAAAAAAAAAGACTGAAGAAGAAGATTGAGTAATAACTACCATTTTCCTGCGTTTTTGTTACCATTTTGCTTCCCCAGATGCATCAAAGTAGGTGCGTCTGAGGCACTGCTCCGGATCAGGTTGGGCCTAAAAACTGGTCCGCCGAATTATTTCCAGAGTAACGTGGCGGCATCAGCAACTGGGAAGTTGTTGTGTCACGACAAAACTGCTTTTTAGGACATCAACGTCTTTAAGTGAGATGTATGGACCAGAATGAAAGCAAGCGCAGACCATGGGGGAAAGTTTTAGCACTAATATGGTTAATACATATAAAACTGCAAAGACCAAACCTTTTCTGTTAACTGTTCAGAATCAGAATAGTTTTCATTTCCTAAGACTGGAATCAGGGACCAGATAATCATCGCTCTTGTCATCCTTTACCCCTTTTTCCTTGTAAATTTCATCCAATCGTGCTTCTATGGAACGTGCCATTCTGCTCAGACAGGAGCCACGAAGCTAACGTGGCTAATAATGGCGAAGCTGGTCTGTCAGTAAACACTTCTGGACGCAAAGACGTTAAATTCACTCATCGTTTGTCAAACTATTGTTTGGGTTTGTCAAGAGTGGGTTGTGTGACTGTTTTCAACGGACATGCATATGATACAGTCGTTTTAATTAGCATTAAAAAAAGGGTCATTAAGGCTGGAAAAGAACGGAAAGACTCTTTCTGACTGTGAAAACCAAATGATATGCGTCTATAAAGGGCATTTCATGGTGTTTCTCACTTTTAGGTCTGGTTACGTGTGACAGGAATTAGCTGTTGCTAATTTGCCATCGGCTGTTGTAGCAGTGGGAGCTAGCCAGTGCTAACAGTTAGCTTAAACACATAATCTGTTCAACCAAGAAAATTCTCACGGACCAAAAAAAAACAACGAGCTAATCAAACTTCCATCCATCGCAGACTTTTGTGACGTTTGTGTTCATTTTTGGTGCCACAAAACTAGAAAGCAAGCTTAAGACTTCCGCCTGCCTACTTGGTCCTACTTTACTGGATTATTGTTTAGTCGACTTGTAAAATAAGCTTTTCACAACTCTCATAACTGACTGTAATCAACATAGTGGTCTATTCATCTCAGTGTTCACAAATATCATCCATATAAACTGCTTACAGCCGCAAATTAAATGTGAAATTCATATGTAGCTGCCATATGGGTGTTATCGTCAATCTGAATAGAACTAGCTTGGTCAATATGTAAGTGTGTAAACAAAAAAACAACAATGTAACATCAAAACAAACGCATTATAAACACAACTAGGTGGAGGAAGAGTCAACAGGTGACTCGGGCTTTAACATCTGCTCCCTCAACACGCTGCTGTTGGATGAAATAAGTTTCCTTACCCACAGTTATACCACTATAACTAAACTACGTGAAAACCTAAGACAGGAGGGCCGTACACTGTCATGTTGTTAAAAACATATCAAAGATCTACTCGGCAGTAGCATGAGCAACATAATTTGGACGACAAACAAATGAAAAAGAATTGAATTGTCCATCAACAGGGTGGAAGTGTCTCTGAAATGTATTTTTTGACCAAAAACCTTTTAATGTAATTTGATGGTTTGTGAGCTGCGAAGCAACAATTTGCACTTATTAGAAGTTCACCTTCGGAGAAAAAAGGCTTCGGGGCCCGAATGTAGGATTTTATCTCCTACTTGTTTTATGTATTTTCTTCGATACTCGTCTGGATTCTACGTTTTACTATTTATCCTTTGAGAAAGGAAATATCAATGTGCCATCACATTTTGTCATATCTAATAGTTTCATTCCTTGAGGAGAATATTTTTGCACAAGAAATGGTTGGATGATGTTTGATTGTTTGTGACTTAATCGATTTCTAATCCATGTGTGACATTTTTGAGTCGGGATGTGTGTGTGTGTGTGTGATCTTAGATTTTTGTTGATGTATGCTTTTATAATATTATTTCTATTGTTTAACAGATTTTATATTTTATTTTGTATCACTTTCCCCTCTCTCTCTCTCTTATCGTTATTCATAATCTGACGAACCTCATGGCAGACAACAGTTCACTTTGAAGGAACATTTTCATATATAACAATGTTCTCAGACCAAAATCAGCGTATCTGTGCTTGTCAGGACTGAATGGAGAAAAAAAAACGCTGCCCATGTGTTCTTGAACAACTCGGTACTTTTAACTTCAGCTGTCAATCTGTAAATGACCATGTAAACTTAGACTTCATACAAAGAAAAACAAAAAAAAAGCATCACTTGTATCAATGATACAGGGATGGAAATGAAGTTGTCGGTGTCGGGGTCCAGCTGTTCACCTATTTCAGAAAACATCTGCAGTGCATGCTTCTGCATCAGAGCGCAAGAACTCAGTGTCATATTTGATTTCCAGGGTGATATTATAAGTTGTGTGAAATTGTTATTTTGCTCTATCTGCTATAAAAAAGAAAAGGCAGTGATAATCGTTTTATGTTATGGATTGTTTTATCCGTGGCCATACTGAATGTAACCTATTGTGTGACAGATCACTAACGATGTATGCAAGAAAAGCACTACCATGTTTAAATAAAGGCCTGCACTGTTTTTAAGACAAGAGTGAACCAGAACTCGTCAATGGATCAACTAAATGGTTACAGAAAATATTTTCTCATGTTAAACGGAACATAAATGCTCATCTATAAAAGTTTACTACCCAGAACCGGTGTACAGTGTGTGATCAGTGCATCGCCACTACATTAGAAAGATCAAACCACCAGGCACAGAAATGAACTCCTGCAGCTGATCACGCGGCTGAATTTACCAGTTAACAAGTTTAGGAACATCCGATTTAAGTCAAGACAGCAGCTGGCCGGCTCGCTGAAAACACGGCCAAGTTCTGTATCAGTTCTCTGAGACATAAACATACTGTACAGAGCCATTAGTGAAAGCCCTGCACTGAGAAAATACATCAGCCAACGTGAAAACATTGCATCCCAGACAAATTAATGAAAGTGAAATCACTTTTAATGTTTATTTTTTCTTCATTAACAGTTCATGAATGCTGTTGAAGACCTGCAGATATACCGCAGCCCACTGTCTGTGTTTATGAGAGTGAGAGCAGCTTCTGAGCCGAGCGCTGATTGGACTGATTTGATTGATGCTGCCACACTAATAGCTCTGCATTCCTGAGGGGGGGGGGGTTTATCTGAACCAAGATAACACTGTTCCAGGATGACAAATATACAAACTGAAAGTTTACATCTGTCAAAAGGGCCGGTGTGTAGGATTTAGTGATATCTAGTGGTTAAGTTGCAGATTGCATTCAAATTAATACTGCTCCCAGTTTGCAGGAGGAACTACGGTGGCTGCAAAGCTTGTAAAAAAACACGAAAGGCCCCAATCGAGATCCAGTGTTTGATTCTGTAGATAAAAACAGCTCATGTAAGGTAATAAAAACATTGAATAAAAACATGATTCCTATTTTCAGGTGATCATACACTAGTGAAAACATACCTATGAATATTAAATTTAACTTCTACCAATAGATCCTCCTAAATGTTACACACTGGACCTTTAAGGAAAATAATCCAGAAAGCATCTTTGTTTTTTCCTTATTGTACATCTACAAACAACACTTGAAACGATTGATCATTTATTTTTCAAACAAAACATTTACAACCAACAAATTCTTAAAGTCTGATTGATCAATTCATACAGCATGAAAGAAAAATGGAAATGATCATTTAGAGCAGTGCCACATGGTACTTTCAATAACCTTAACTGTGACAAATGAGTTTAACAACTAGCAACTTAATTAAAACTACAGAATCTGGGTCCTGACTTGAAGAAAAACAACATCCTGTTCATGTATTAGGAGTTATAGTTATTTGTAAGATATTAGATTTCTTTGTGTTTGTATTCAAAGACCCAAGGCGAACAAAGAAATGTTCATCGACTCATATATAAAACCATGTTTTTTTCTAAAACTACATGAGTTTTAGGTCCACATTTTAATATTTCTTAATGACATTGCTGATGGAAAAACATTCAGTATCTGCTCCATTTAAAAGATTCAGAGACACAACAGGTTTTTACTTTTAAAAACACACAAATGTAAAGATTTCCAGTTCCCAGACATCCACAGTAAACTGATCTGATTCTTGTGACACCCCAAACAAATAAAGTCATCTATTTCACTTGTTTTCCCTCTACAAGAGGTCAAAGGTCAGCTGGTGCTTTAGTGTCTCGCTCGAGGACACTAGGTGCTGGATTCTCGCGGTCCGGCTCAACCCCACCCTGCTGCTGATAAATCCAACACACATAACTGAAGAAGTTAAAATCAAAAGAATTTTGAATCCTACAAAAATACATGTTACGGGTTACGTCAGAACAAAAAATCTCATTATTATATAAATATTTAAGGCATCTCGGTCATTAGGCCTCAGAGTCAACACACACACACAAGAACACAGATGAGCCGACACACACACACTGTACACAAACTGATCTGGTTACATGAAGGAAACAGACCAGTTTGCGCTGAGATTCAGAACCGAAACATTCTTAGATAATTAAGATGAAGTCTTATCTGTGCTACATGTTTTTAAGAAAAGTCCACGGAGGAAAAACATGATGCAAAACACTAAAAAATAAGAATTTGTCTGTTCAAGAATTTGTAATGACATTACCAAGAACTCATCATTTCCCCATCATGTTTCCAGACCATAATTATATTATTTAAAATCACAACTTTGTTTGTCTTTCCAAACTTTTCTGCAGCCGTTCAAGTCACAAAACGCAGCGTTAAACAAACCCAGACTGAACAACAAACACAGTGTCTTTCCGAGCAGAGATCTGGGTCATATTTGTTGAAATTATAAACTCATTTGGCTGATTAGAGATCAGCTGATGTAGAAATCAGTCCTGGTCCTTCCAACAATGTCTCACTCATCACTACTCATATAAACGATGATGAAACTGGTTTTTAAAAGAGTCTCAAAAATCTTTAACTTCTTCCCACTGACCCGACAGGAACGGGCTCATTTTGGATAAAAACTCGCTGTTTAAAAATAAAAAATAAATCTACTCATTGTGGGTCCCGAACCGAACGTCAAACAGGAGTTTTACAGTTCATCGTCATCGCTGCTGTCCCAAGACTCAGCGACGTTTGTAGATCTCCGCGCCAGGAGTTGATGCTTCTGTCAGGATTCCTCTCCCACTTCCTGGTTGATCACGTGATGGTATCCCCGGTTGCTCATTGGCTCCCTCTGCCAGCAAATAACGCCGAGGAGGAGGGCGATGAGGAGGAGGAGCAGACAGCCGGACACTGCCAGACTGATGATCACTTCTGAAGACGGAGAGACAAAATAAAGGATCAGTGGTGGAACAATTCATTTTATCAGTCTTTTTTAGTGTGAGTGTGTGTTTGAAAAGTTCACCTGTGTCTCTCCCTTCTGAAGGAACCTGACACTCCTTGTTCCTGTCTTCTGAAATCGAGGACTTTGTAATTCTCACAAACTCATCTAGGGGGCAGTCGAGGGAGCAGCCTGGTAGCTGCAGAGGGTACGGCTCCACTGTGCTGTCATTCCGGTAAAACAGCGACACCGAAGAAGAGCTGGATGGACGCAGAAAGAGAGAGAGTCAGTTTTATATTATTTGGGGCCTTATAGCATAAATTTTAAACAAACTGCTTTATACATGTTTATATTTCTGTTTGTGTTGAATTTCAAAATAAAAGTCTCATCCATTTGTTATGTTTAGCAGCTCTCTTTCCTTTCTTTCAGGTATGAGCTCCTCAATATGACATGGAGACTGTTTGTCAGTATAATGTTTGAGAGGTGTGTGTGTGTGTGTGTGTGTGTGTGTGTGTGTGTGTGTGTGTGTGTGTGTTACCCGTTTTCATCCTGGTACAGTTCAAATATTTGGCAGGATGCATACGGCGGCTGTCTTCCACTGAACACATTCATACTGGCCTGGAGAGCAGCTACAGTGGTGTCATGCTGTTAAACAGACACACACACACACACACATTAAAAAGGAAATACTCTTACTTCCTTTCTTGTCAAGGGTTGCATGAGAAGACAGATACCACTCTTGTGTCTCTGTGTTATCTATAGAGTTACAGCCAGGAGATGTGCTTAGCTTAACATAAAGACTAGAAACAGGGGCAACAGCTAGCCTGGCTCTGTTTCAAGGTAAAAAAAAAAAGTAATAGTATTGTCAACTAGCTCACCGCTGACAGCATCATAAATTTCAGTCTCTGTTTGGGGTCTGGGACGGCCATCTTGGAAAGATTCTTCACTATTTCACCCAAAAGGATTCCTGAAACACAGACAGCAGTTTATTATTTCCCCATTTTATCCTGTAGTTAAAGCAGAAGTCTGATGTTGTCTAAACATTGTGTGCATCTTATTCCTCTGTGCCACGGAGCGCCTTTATTGACTGGATGATATGTTCCTTCGTTACCACACACAGGTTTATTTTTACACACCGTCCTGCTGCCACAAATACTCACTAGAGCACCAAATGTGGATTAATCCGCAGCTGAAAATAGTCCCCAGCAAATGCACTATTTCCTCCTGTTTGAGTAACGTTTGTTCCAGTGTCCAGCTGGTTTATTAATTTATTCAGCCTCTCTTTAAGAATGAAATTATATTTGTCTGCAATGATTAGTTTGTAAAGCAGTTGGATTTCACTGATCTGCACACATACCTCCCTGCAGCCGGCTCTTTTCTTGCTGTTTGTAGACCCCGAATGTGACCTGTTAGATTCAAACAGAATCAATACATTTAACATTGAGACCATCACGAGACACTCTGAAGAGACTTCTGAATGAAACCACAGATGTTGTCAATACTTTTTACCTGAAATCCAAAGTCTTTGAGCACTCGCAGCTTCTCCATAACATCAGGAGTCACCCAGTCAGGAGCTGACATGTTGTGGCGGGACTGAATTCATACACACAGACACACAAACACACAAACACACAGTGGGAATTATGAAAACCATGAACATCTAAATAAGGCCTGGAGGCTTTAATTAAGTAGTTTTAAAACTGACAAACTGTCCTCTTGAAAGCACTTTGTCAGCAGTCCTCTGCCTGAACCTCTCTCACTGCAACCATCTCTCACATTGTTGCTGAATGTCTCTCATTTCATATTTGGCTCATACTTGAAATCTCACACTTTTGTGTGTATTTGTCCACAGAATAATTTGGACATTATCCCAGAAAACTATAGACACTGACGGCAGAACCTGAGATATGTATTGACAGTAATACAGCGTATTGATTGGCTCACAGGGTCCATTCAGAGCCAAGTGCTGAAATGAAGGCAGTGACCTTTGTGAACTAGATAAGCCAAAACACAGATGTGAAACTGCTGCTAGTTACACAGTCCTCTTCCTCTAACAGTTTGTTTGCCGAAATAGCCATGTGTTCCTCAAAAACTGGTGGGGCTGGTTGAGTCACAAGACAAAAACCAACACGCCTGAGATTTGGTCAGTTACCGTCCCGCCAGACGTTTACACTTGAATAACAGGATGCTGTTATTATAAAATGAACATAGCTATGACGATGATAGAGTTCTTAATAGCTGAATCATGTGAGAAATACGACATGCGTTCTCACCTCACAGAAGAGTGTGTCGTACACGCTCCACACTGACTCCACATTGGTCTTATTCAGGCTTGTTTTGTTCCTCACCAGCTCTATGATGTCCTGGAGAGAGGAACACAGTGAGCTCCACATACATATCATCCTCAATAAACTTTAACAATGTATTTCAACTTTTAACACTTTTTAGACTACTAAATAGCAGAGTCATGCTCTAAAAACAGACTTTATACTCCTTTTGATGAAATATAACCCCCAAAAAATCCTGTTATGTTTGACCTCAGTGTCCTTAATAGTCGCTGTGTCCCTGAGCTTGGCTCTGTTACACTGTATGTGTATAATTTAGAGGAGAAAAGAAAAGGAGAGGGTACCTGGTATGTAGCAGTGACATTAAGAAATTCCTCTGTATGTTCAGTTTCATTCATCAGCTGTTTGTAGCGAGGACAGTTACCCAGAGGATAAGAGAGGAGCTAAAAGAAGAGAAGGAAAGTTCAGTCAGTGAAGCACTTATAGTGAGGAAGGAGCTCTAATAAAACTATTTAAATCATATAGGTACCCTCTCTTCACTTTGTGGCACAGTGTGTACAGGTATCGGCTGCCACTTCAAGCCTGGTTCAAAGACCTGCTGGCCAGTGGGGGGGTAGAGACCTAGATGGTGGCAAGAGCCAGAATAATACCGACTGTTAATGTGAGTAAGGAAACTACTAGAAATAAATGAATTACTGGTAGAAGAGAAGTAAGAGGAAGAGGAGTTAGCTGGTGTTCAGACCTGCGAGGTTGGCCTCAGCACTCATCAGGGTGCGATCGTAGTCTGTACTGCGAACTGAGATCTGAGGACGAGGAACAAAAATGTATTTACAGACTGTAACATGGTACAAACAGCATTACATTTATTAAGTCCAAATATACAGGAGAGTTTGAAGAGAAGAGCTAATAACAGACTGAGGCCCTCCTCCTGGTAAACACCTCTCAGTAGCTGCGTTTGCATCCAAACTACCTGGAACTTTTATTCCCAGGATCTACTTTTAAAGGAACTAAAATGTTCCCTCAGCCTGTCATTTGCCTTGTTGCCTAGCATTGCTGTCTGCGTTCCCACCGCAGACTACAGACTTCCACCATATTCCTGAAATTCCAGCACCAGTGGGAACCCTGTATAACACCAACATGGCAAGGCGCCCTTTCTCCTAAACATTAATATGAATCATCGTCTGTCTGCGAGGGTTCAACTGAGGCGTCATGTGATCTGACAGTGAAGAGGAGAGTTCATCTACCTCGTGTCTGTCATAGGAGTCGTTGAGAAATCCTTTGTATCGACTCCTCAGATATTGTCCCAGCTCAAAGTGCTGCTTCATCCCCACCTGAAAACACACACAGACATCGACATCATACTCCTGCTGCATCACTGGATCTCACATTTCTACAGGCACACGTTTAAAATGGGTCAATAACATCAAAACAGCAGGTTAGACATAATAAACTATATTGTGTATACTAATATTGTGATTGCTGTGCACACAGATACTAATTGGCCTGATTTTTGAATGTCTAATTGACCTAAATATACTGGCTGAGAAACAATAGGAGGGAATCAAGCTTTAAAACAGTATTAGCCTTTAAAACATATTAATAATCAGGTCATTCTATTTCTGTGTTACATTACAATGGGGCTGATTGGGCCTCAATAGCCTTTAATGCTGTATGTAACTCAAACTGTGCATGTCATTATAATAAGCCTACATACAGTTAAATGCTGAATATTTTCAAATTCATATAGAGTTCATAATGTATAGAGGTCCTCAGTTAGAAATATAATGGGAATGAATGAGTCTTCATAGGTTAGAATGCTATTCTACCTATTTTGATATGAACAATAAATGCATACATAAATTCTGACACACTGCGATTACTCCAATTTAAAAAAAAAGTTCATTATACCTGTGATAGCTGTCCAAAGCCTTGTGGCCAGGCGCTCTCTTGGTACGGATCGGTAGGATAGGCTTTGACTGGGGACCTGTCACCATGCCGAAACAACTGGAGGGGAGAGAGAAGAGACGTCAGGTAACACCCAAACTAACAACACTATTTCCTCTTAACTGTGAGAAAAGAAATACTTTCACTATGGCAAAAGAAAAAGTCACACACAGTCACGTTCAATATTTTCTATTAACCCAAACAGTTTCTAAACTCCCAGCACTGCTGCACAGACACTAAAGAAGGAACATACTGTAATTCTGTGATAAGATGAGCAGGGTTGGATATCAGCAGAATCACTCACTATACAATTTTACATTGAAAGATATTTTAAACCTGATAAACATTCAACTAAACATGTGACACATAGACGGGCAAGAGGCTTAACATTGAGATTTCAGAGAGTAAAATATGCTGAAGTTCTCTGAAAGAATAAAAGCATATATAATGGAAAAATGTGACTGTAGCAAACTTGACTTGAACAAACTGATTTACAGACTGTAGCAAACCTTCACTCTTTCATCATGTGACTCGTGTTTGACTTTATAAGCCTACTTAGATTGAAGCTCTGTTTCTCACTGCTCGAGTGAGAAGAGTGCAGATTTCTGTATTATTCTGAAACACATTTATCTCCTCTAAAACAGAATCAAATCAAAACCTTCGTCCTCGTTTTATCTGTGTCAACACTGCTGGCTGTTATAAAAACCAGTCAGCTGATAGTAACGATCCTGTTTGTCAGACTCTGTAATGTCAGCGAAAACATGTCAACTGAAAGCACCAAAGGCCTTAAAATGAGTAATAACCACAGTGTAAGCACATCCAGAAAGCAGAAACAGGAAGAACACACACAAATGCTGTCGAAGCCATTAAATAAGTGAGTATTAAGAAACATAAAGCATATTGTGCAGGACAAACATCCCAACTAACTCCAACAGTTATAAAAATGCCACAATAAACTGTACAGGGACATTTTCAGGAAATAATAACTTATATTTGAAACTGCTCCTTTAGAGAGGAGAACTACTAATGTGGCAGGTTTAAATCAACATCTGCATCCAGTCAATTAGCTTTTGTTCCTGCATCAGCCGACTATTCAAGTAGAACAGTTTCAAGTTTCAATCTTCGAGCACACTACAAAGAAATGTGGGTTTCCGTTTTCTGGTGTGAAGAGCATGCATGACTGATCCGCTCAAAATAGCTGAAAAGATGTGTAAACTCCATTTGAAAGGGTGGATTATCCCTTTAAAACTCCTAATCTTATCTGCCCTGCGATCCATTAATGGCCATCTAGCACCGTTTCTAAGAAAGACTGCGAGAATAAGAACACGTTAACATTAAGCTCCATCTCTGTTGGAACAACAATCAACAAAACTTTCACATGACCGAGCTCTCTGTGTCATACTTTACATGCAAGATGACTGATGTCATGGCTTTAAGATGGGAAAACACAAGTGTGTCCTATGCTCAATTTTCACAACCATGACAGATTCCATGAAGAGGGTTAAAGGGTGGGAAACACTAAGTCTATATATAATATATGTTAATTAATGTGTTTTGTGATTCTTTATATTCAAAATGTGCAGGATGCTTTTAAAAAGTATTGTTTTTTACCCATAAGCAGTCACAATGTTTGTGTTCACAGCTTCAGTGTCTATTACCATGCTACATGTGTCTCCGCACTGTGCATAGGAAGTTACTGGACAAATTCACTGGCCTTCATTTAACAGCTAGTTAAGTGCAATTAAAGGACAACATTCATATACACTAATGTGTGCAATTAAGGTGGAAGTGATGCTTTAAAAGATGTTTTTTTTTTGCTGCTCCGTAAGGATGATGTTTAATGACTCTGTGAGGATTAGACAACATTTAAACCATCCACAAAGCGAGAAGTTACACAAATATTATAGTTAAATCTGTATATTCTTACAGAAAACAAAGCCTTGGAAAAGCCATGACACACGTTCACATTGTATTCTTAAAATTTACATTTCATGTAAATAAACAGCCCTGTTGAAGCATAGGACAAGATGTTCTTACAACAGTTTCAATTTTGCTTGTTTGCGTCCTCTTGCATTGATGTCTGTGTGCAGCTTACTGCTTCTCAGTCAAGACAATAACTTCTGTATCCTTGACTACACTGCGTTTCTCCCCTGGGGCAAGCAGGGATTCCCGGTGAGCTGCTGAACAGGTCCGGGGCAGCTGCATCTGCAAATACTTTGGTAAGTGTGCCTCTGTGTTTGGAATCAGGGAAACATCCACACAGAGACATTGGAGGGTTTCTACATGACCTAAATCATTATCTGACCAGAAATACCTCCGAGATTAGAAATCCCCCAAAGAACATCAGCATTTACGAGGACACATAAATGTTTTCTAAGTGTTGTTTGGTGTTGGTAGAGCTGAGTAGTCACCTGATCAGTCCCTGACAATGAAAACACAATATTGACTACTGCTATAGTTCAAGCTGACAGGTCAGACAGGTCAGGTTTGTAATGCAGTGCTGACTCCTCTTTTGTCAGGAACAACATTAACATGAGAGTTCAGAAACCTCAAATGTGCCAGTTTGTTGATGCAGTTCCTGTTTGGAGGGCTGTCTCTGCGCGATTAGCTCTGAATTCAAAACCATTCACACCACATATTCATTTTTTTTAAATGTTGAATGTTACAATTATTTAAATAAAATGTCCACTTTTACAACGGGTTAAAGTGTCAGCTTCCTAAGGCAATGCTGCACAGAAAATGCTTACTTCTTAAAAAATGAAGTGTTGCTAGGTGGATTACACGCCGAATTCACGACAACACCCAAATGATTTCGGACAGACTTAATTCGTGTTCAGATACAAGCACATGTTTACAGACAGGCAAAGAAAACGCAAAATCTCCGAAATTTTGAATGCAGTTCCGTGAGCGTCAAACTACAACGAAGACAAACGAGGCGACTCGCCGTAGAGCTCAACACAGCTCCCAAACGGCTCCACACATATTAATATTACACTACTCACCACAGTGACATATACTAGTCTTCTTTCTGCGGCAGCTTTTCCACACACAGCTCCCACCGTTACGAGAAGCAGCACCGCAGGAGACACCATGTTTCAGCCCGTACAACCAGAGGGCTAATGTTTGCTAACCACTGATAGCTGATTGTCGGTTTCCTGTGTCTTGTCGGCTGCAACTACACCGGAAGTTCAAGTATAAAATACGGCGTGTAATTTTAACAAACAATGTGAGAGACTGAGGGAACATAAAGCGTTAATATATATATATATATATATATATATATATATATATATATATATTATGTTCTGTTACTTTTTGATGATTTGTTTAAATTTCTCACATATCAGGCCTATTTGTTTGTGAAAAAATTTGACATGTTGTTAAGCACGTATTTTATTTTGAAATCAATAGGTCCTGAAGGTTTCTCGCTGCTGTAATGTAAAGTTATCTATGTATAAAGAACAATAGGAATAGTAGAAACAGAAAAAATACCATTAATAAAAATAATAAAAGGGTAGGCCGAAGCCAAAATTAGACGATTGACGATTATTACTACTTAATTTTGGGGGTCAAAATGTCATAACTTTGACTTAGTAGACATATTGAATTACCAATTCAGACTTATTAGATACTAACTACATCAAAATTATGAGATAGCTAAGCATTACTTGAAGGGAAGGATGTCAGTAGTAATACAGTAAAAATAACACTTAAGACACAGCGATTCTGTGTCTGGGGCAAATTTGGGACAGTGGAGAAATGTATTATTACAAATTAAATGATTATGTTTATGTGTCATTTTAATAGTTAGGTCTCTCCCTCTCCTCTTGTGGCAGACAGGCAGTGGGTGTGGTGGGTGGGGCACATTTAGGCGTCTCTCTCACTCCATCTCTCTGGATTAGGGAGTTCCTATATCTTATATGTAAATAGTTTGTTTGAGCTTGTAAATATTTAAATCATTTGTTTGATCTTCTCTCTCCACTGTAGATTTCCATCACCGTATATCAGAAACAGGTTTGCCAGTGTACTGTTGTTTGCAGTGATGCATTTATTGACCCACCTGTTTGAAATAAAAGAGAAACAGTAACTAAAAGAAGAATGAAAACCAAGTAAAATTGTTATTCAGAGATAAGTGCAGGGAACAACTAGCTGAACTTTACTAACTTACTGAAACAAAGTTATTAAAGTATATTCGTTATGTAGAAAGTTGGGGACAGTAGTGGAAGTTGTTACTATATCAACAATAAATCATAGAAAATAAAATATAAAGAATCTTGAGTATTTTTCATTATCATGTCTGACTTTTCTCTTGTTCCTTTTTATTTTTATTTATATATATCCTATTTATATTTTTTATCTTTTTTCATTTTCATGGCAGAAATGAGCTGCAGTAACACTCAGATCAGTCAGCTGAGTTGCAGTGTTTCTCCTCTGACACTAGAGGTCAGTGTTGTCTCAATCAATAATTAGTGTCCGCACTGAGATAGCGGTGCTGCCTTCAGTGTCTCTTTAGTAAGAGTGCGCTTTTTGTAGTCCATCTTCGGAGCGTTGTAGTTTCACAGCAGACGTACGCCATCAACACCCGCCGTGGCGTCATTACGTATTGTATTAAAGTGCAGTCGGACGCTTATCTAATGGGACTGAGACCCGAGGAAGCACAAACACAGACACAGGCGCTTCTTCAGGTGATGTTTAAGGCTAAAGCCAAATATTCCCCAGAGCTCAGAAAATACAAGTAAGTCTTTCCTTTTCCAGTTTTCTGGCTTTTTGCCTTAAATTTATCTCAGAAATTATTTTAAAAAAAATGTTTTAAGAGTCATCCTCCTTCCTCTTCCTACTCTTTCTTCTCTCACACACAGTTGGTTTGCAGCTTAAACACCCAGAATTTTAATTAGTTGTTGTTTATGAATAAAGTCACCTTTTTTAGGGGGGGCCATCTTCTTACTGTCTGTCTGTGTTTCTGTCTCTCTCTCTCTCTCTCCAGGGTTCCTCTGCGTTTGTTCTTCCTGTGTCTCAGCATATTTTTCCTGGTGGTGAATTTAACATGTGCATTGTTGGTGCAAGGAGCTCTGGAGCGCTCTGAATCACCGAGGTAAACAACCATTAATGCTACATTTTAACCTTGCATTATAATGCCACATTAGGCACACAGAGTATACCTGATTGTCTGAAGTTAATAACCTCTGTGTCTGCAGTGATGGGGGTATCAGACATGCAGTCCTGGCTCGGGTCTTAATCAACAACAGTCTGTTTGTCCTGTGTGCTGTCTCTCTGGCTGTCTGCATCTTCAAGACGCCAAGATGTCCTCTCTCAACGTTTACCTTGAATCAAAGGTAGACATAAAACCACGCATGCTACGCTTTAGAGACACCTGTTAGCCTTATATATACAGTCAACAAATAAAAGTCTCAGACTGAAGTTCTGTTTTCTTTCTACATAATTAAAACAATAAAATCTGAATAGCAAATTCAACCTAAGTGTTTGGCTACTGGATCAGTTTTCATTATTCTTTCTGTAATATGATCATTTTTAGTCCGAGACAGTAGAGAATCAGCAAGAATCTATATATACATATATATATATTTATTTTACAATGAAGTTGAGAGGACACAGAAACTTTCCAGAGGAAACAGGTTTTATCAGGAGGAGGACAGCTGTATTACTTGGAATAAATTCCTTGGCTGCCACAGTTGCTCTCCACCCACTGCAAGACCCAGGGAATGATGGGAAATGCCTGGCTGTCGCCTGATCCAAGAGCTGATTGGCTCTTTGTTTTGCCAACAAACATCACGTTTGCCAAATTTTCTGTGTGATTAAATATTTACCTCAAGATTGCTTAATGTCCTCTTCACAAACATATCTTTTGTGGTTGATAATACAAACAGATGGTCTGCAAACCACAGGCAGCCTAAAGCTAATCTAAAAGGATGGAAAAGATTCTGTGACTTCCTGTATATTATCTGAAGGCTGCTGGGGAACTGTACGACTTGACTGCAGCTTTTTGTCACCACCTCCTGCTGCTGCTGCCTGATCTCGTCCACTTTCAGGGAGAGATGCAGTTCATTTTGATCGAGCCTACAGGAAACCAACAATCAGCGCCCAAAATGGTGTCCCCTGCGGTGCTGTTTCTTCTAACAGTGGGCGCTGTGTGTGGAAAAGCTGCCGCAGAAAGGAGACTAGTATATGTGACCGTGGTGAGTAGTAATTGACTGGATGCAGATGTTGATTTAAACCTGCCACATTAGTAGTTCTCCTCTCTAAAGGAGAAGTTTCAAATATAAGTTATTACTTCTTGAAAATGTCCCTGTACAGTTTATTGTGGCATTTTTATAACTGTTGGAGTTAGTTGGGATGTTTGTCCTGCACAATATGCTTTATGTTTCTTAATACTCACTTATTTAATGGTTTCGCCACCCTTTGTGTATGTTCTTCCTGTTTCTGCTTTCTGGATGTGCTTACACTGTGGTTATTACTCATTTTAAGGCCTTTGGTGCTTTCAGTTGACATGTTTTCGCTGACATTACAGAGTCTGACAAACAGGATCGTTACTATCAGCTGACTGGTTTTTAAAACAGCCAGCAGTGTTGACACAGATAGAATACAATAAAATAAAAAAAATAAAATACACTCTTCTCACTCGAGCAGTGAGAAACAGGGCTTCAATCTAAGTAGGCTTATAAAGTCAAACACGAGTCACATGATGAAAGAGTGAAGGTTTGCTACAGTCTGTAAATCAGTTTGTTCAAGTCAAGTTTGCTACAGTCACATTTTTCCATTATATATGCTTTTATTCTTTCAGAGAACTTCAGCATATTTTACTCTCTGAAGTCTCAATGTTAAGCCTCTTGCCCGTCTATGTGTCACATGTTTAGTTGAATGTTTATCAGGTTTAAAATATCTTTCAATGTAAAATTGTATAGTGAGTGATTCTGCTGATATCCAACCCTGCTCATCTTATCACAGAATTACAGTATGTTCCTTCTTTAGTGTCTGTGCAGCAGTGCTGGGAGTTTCGAAACTGTTTGGGTAAATAGAAAAAACTGAAAGTGACTGTGTGTGACTTTTTCTTTTGCCATAGTGAAAGTATTTCTTTTCTCACAGTTAAGAGGAAATAGTGTTGTTAGTTTGGGTGTTACCTGACGTCTCTTCTCTCTCCCCTCCAGTTGTTTCGGCATGGTGACAGGTCCCCAGTCAAAGCCTATCCTACCGATCCGTACCAAGAGAGCGCCTGGCCACAAGGCTTTGGACAGCTATCACAGGTATAATGAACTTTTTTTTTAAAAATTGGAGTAATCGCAGTGTGTCAGAATTTATGTATGCATTTATTGTTCATATCAAAATAGGTAGAATAGCATTCTAACCTATGAAGACTCATTCCTTCCCATTATAATTCTAACTGAGGACCTGTATACATCAGCATTTAACTGTATGTAGGTTTATTATAATGACATGCACAGTTTAAGTTACATACAGCATTAAAGGCTATGGTGGCCCAATCAGCCCCATTGTAATGAAATATAATGACCTGATGTCATGGGAGATATGAAATAAAGAGATTGGCCTCAAACCCATTCTTTGTGCTTATTTATTAAACCTTTATAAAGGGATCAGTACAACACAGACAGATGTCTGCCTGTATTCAAAGCACTTACTTCTAAAACCTTGGGTGGAACATCCTCTCGGGAAGCCGGTGACAGATGAATAGAGGCATGCACATTGGAGCACGTCCGGTGAAGCAAACACAACAAAAATGTGTCACCACAACTTCCCCTTTTGGTCATTTTTTGACAAATATGAGAAGAATTAAACATTTAGACCTGCTTTGTAGGTCAGAAATGTCCACTGTTGGGGTAAAGGGTTGCAGCAACGGGCAGGAAACCGAGTGCCATCCGCTCTAACTTTTCCTGTGGGAACTAGCTCAGAGTTTCACATTTCCAAACAGAAGTTTACTTCGAGAGGAGGATTAACAACCCGGCCTACAAGTCTGTGATGTTTACCTGTTGATGTTTAGAATTTGTATGTTTCTAAAATGTGCAAAAATCACGTACTACACCAAATGCAGATCTGCTGTCTGTAACTGCTTTGTCCTCAGCTCGTTTGCATGCTTCTGTGAGGGCTATTCATTTAGCAGCTTGTGCGGATAGGTGTGAGG